TATGTTTATATACCAAACTGATTCTTTTGCCCCTGCTCTACATTTTGAAATGCCTCGGAGAGCTTGGTGGAACTTATAAGATTGTCTTGTCTGATGTTTGTCGGAATAATAAGTCTGTCAATTCTCATTAACAAACCTTTATTCACAGTAAAATCTGAGGTTGAAGGTTTGTACAACTTTGCAATTACACGCAATTACGCATTAGGCCTACAAAAGTATGTATATTCAATTAATTTGCTACACACATAGTTGTTTTCTTTTTTGATGTAATTTCCTCCAGCTTTTTTCTGTACCTGATAACTACGCCTAGTTCTTCTTTTTAAATAACACATTATCTTACCTATGTGGGAGTGAATGCCTTTGACGGAAATGATACTGGTTTAAAGTCCCCATAATCTTGTTTCTAAAAAACAACACTTCTGTTAGCATATTTGCAAGACTTTGTCATGAGTACAGTTTACCTATTTGAATCATTATGAGCTGACACAGAAGTATTGGCCAAACTAAGCTTGATTTTATTTTAAACTTCTCGTTGGCTTGGGGTTTGGTGCACCATTTACCGGTTTAAACTCCCAGCAGTACTTATGATGCTGACTGTTCCAAGGCACTTTTGTGTCCCCTCTTGTTGCTTTCCTCGTCTACGGTAAGTATTTTCCCTTTTGTCCCTAGTTTTTTTTTTTGTTTTAATTTTCCTCTCACCTTCCCCGTATTTAAAGTCCCCCTTTTACTTTGTGGGTGTACTAATCAATCAATTGTATTTGATTTCCGTGTCGGTTACTACTATTTATTTTATGTATTAGTAAAGAGATTATCCTGTCCGAAATCTGCCTTGTGCCCTGTCCTGTTTTTGTTTGGGATCCTCCTGGGCTCCTTGCCGCTGGTCCTTGTTGCTTGGACGTGTAAGGGCTGAGTTCATTGAACGCCGCCTTTCATTCTTCATCTTGTTTACCATATTTTCTTAATCTCAGCAAAATTGACCTTTTGTACTCAGCAGATCTCTAACATGTTTTGAGTCTTCTGCCAATGATGGAGAAAAATTCCCAAATTGATTGACTGTCCCCCATGTATGTGTTTTAGAGGACATAAGTTTCTTTGTGGCCTTCCCCTTATCGGGTCTACTGATTTTTTTTCCTACTTAGTATCTAACAACCTTTTTTGACACTCTTTTTTATTCATTGTTTATTTGCTCCGGTTTTGTTTGTCCGAAACTGTTCCAAGACAAGTGTCATGTTCGGCTTTGACGGCGTTATCATAAGGACATCATTTTTCAGGCAAATAAGTCCCTCAATGCCCTCAAACAGAGACATCGTTTTTGAAAGTACTCTAATATACTAGATAACCCAATTGGTGAGCGATTAAACGCATATCTGCCAAAATGTGTGATACATGTAGTCAACAATTTTCTTTCTTGAGCAAGTTATATTTACTAAAATGAACTTTTAGCCTCTAAAAATATTTTTCTCAAGTTAAATGACATATTAAGCTTTGTTCTGTAATCGGCAAAGACAAACTTTAAAAGTCTCACATTTTTATTCAACTGTGACAAATCAACACGTATGTAAGCAAGTAAAGTAAATCTGCTGTTTCCATACGCTCTAGTTAAGATTAATGTTTCGATAGCAAAGGTATAGACACACGCATTGGCATATATAAAGCAAACGGCTGCGCGTTTTCATTGAATGAAATACGGTATGACATTTCAAAAGATCCTCTCTAAATAAATTAGAATGCTTCTTTAGAGAGAATGAGAGAGCATATTAAATTACACAACTCTTGTCATTCGCATGTTTTTAAAGAATTAGATATATTTTTTCGTGTGAAATATTTTTTTACCAATTCATCTAGTAGAATTTTTTCTAACGTAAAGTATTAATGTGAGTTCAAATCGATGAATGAGATATTCGTCATCTGTGTCAACATTCAATGCTATTTCAAACTCAACGATATTGAACATTATAGCATAAAAAGGTCATCTATGTTCATCCATTTTGATAATTCTTAACAAGCACTTAATAGCAACTTTAAGAAACTTACCAAACCCTCCATATACATATGAACAATAGAGATATTGGTTGTTTTCCGTATTAGTAAAAATTAGTTTTAAGTGAAAAATAGCTTTGTTGGCTTGTATCGATAATGTTTTTGACACTTATGTATACCAAGTTAATCAGGGCGAGATTTATCTAGTAGATTAATTTGAGATTGAAAGTTGCGGTATGCAATTTATCACTCTCTGAAGCATTTTTGTGTGTTTTTTTCACTAATAGAATTTAAATCGTCAGCGTTGAGCGAAATGAATATAGTGTTACGAGCTAAACGCAGCAGAGAAGATAACGCAGCAACAAATTTACTTAAAACAATTATAATAAAGCCTATATACATAACAATAGTTATCAGTAAATTCTACTAATATTTCATGCCAACAGCACACCTCTAGAAATTAAATAATGTTATTCTTAAAAATATGACTATTCTTAATAGGTTAGTAAGTTTTGCTGAAAATGGAATGTTACATATGCCGAAAGCCTTTTTATTCATCTTCCAAGCTGTTCTGTTGTTTTTATAAAAGTATAAAAATTGACTTTACTAAAGCATAAATTATGTTCTCTCTGCTTAACGTAAGAATACTACCAGATGTATTGATGGAAAATCCTTAACGTGAAAATTAATATTTGATCAAAGAAAAGCATATGTAACATTTAGTATTCTCTTTGCCCTTCACTGTATACGCCAAGTTATTACAATTCGAATACATCTATTTTACCCGATGGTATACAAAATTATCACATTAACGTTTAACTCACTGTTTATGTTTTTATTACAATATTTGATTTTTATTTGTTTTAACTTTATTTGTAATGTATTTATTATGTTCGTTGTTGTATTTTGTTACAATAATAAACTCACCTTATATCCTATTGCGTAAAATAAATATGCCAATTCTAGCATTTTTCTTTGTTTAACTAAACCTAAGGTGTCTAATGAACGAAGTAAATTTTACGCAAAACAGATCTTTTTATAATTAAAACAACTTTACGTGCCCTTCATTACTTGATATAAAACATTTTTCTTCCGATATGATAATTGCACACCTTTTGTATTTCAACATCCGTTTTATAATACACTTTCAAATTGGCCAATATTCGTAGTTATACCCCCACCACAAAATGTGGGGGGATTATAATGGATTCGCTTTGTCGCGTCGGTCGGTCGGTCGGTCGGTCGATCCGTCCGTCCGCACTCACAGGAGAGAAATTATGTGGCTAGAGGGACAATAGGTAACTGTTCTTTCTCTTTGATGTCATTCATTCCGTAATGCTTTTATGTGGCTATTTTCTTTTGGGTGGCTAAAAAGAACAATAGAGAGAACAATAGAGTAGCCACATAATTACTGTCCTGTGAGAACGTCCGTCCGTCGATACGTCCGTCCATCCGTCCGTCCGTCTCCATTTTCGTGTCCGCTTAATAAATCCTATACCAATTGAAGGATTTTCTTCCAATTTTGCTCAAATGTTTACCTCAACTAGGGTATGTGCAGAACCCATGTGTCAGCTCAAGGTCAAGGTCACACTTGAATGTGAAATATCGAACAATCAAATATTAGACAGTATGTCGTGTCCGCTCTGTAAGTCCTACACTAATGAAAGATATTCTTCAAACTTGGCTCAAATGTTCACCTCAACAAGGGGATGTGCAGAACTTATGTTGCCCATGTGTCAGCTCAAGGTCAAGGTCACATTTGAAGGTCAAATATCAAACAATCAAATATTAGACAGTATGTTGTGTCCGCTCTGTAAGTCCTACACTAATTGAAAGATTTTCTTTAATCTTGGCTCAAATGTTCACCTCAACAAGGTAATGTGCTGAACCCATGTCACCCTTTTGCTGGCTTAAGGTCAAGGTCACACTTGATTGTCAAAAATTGACTTAGAAAATATTCTTAAATTTTATTTGAATGTATTTGAATATTTCTGAAACTAGAACAGGTATTTGCTTGAAACTTAAAATATATATGACGTGTCACAATTAAGATATGCAGGTCTACTTTCATTACTCTGAATTTTAACAAAGTTATGCCCCTTTTTATGTCTTCAAATTTACATACAATCAAATATTAGACAATATGTCGTGTCGGCTCTATAAATCCTTTACTAATGGAAGAATTTTCTTCAAACTTTACTCAAATGTTCACCTCAACAAGGTTATATACAGAATCTATGTTACCTTTGTGCCGGCTTAAGGTCAATGTCACACTTGAAGGTCAAAATTGACTTAGGAAATGTTCTTAAATTTTGACATGTACTTGAATATTTCTGAAACTAACACAGGTATTTGCTTGAAACTTAACACATATATGAGGTGTCACAAATAAGATATGCAGGTCAAGTTTCATAACTCTGTATTGCATTTTGACAAAGTTGTGCCCCTTTTTTAAGTCTTAAAATTTACATACAATCAATACTAGACAATATGTCGTGTCGCTCTATAAATTCTATACTAATGAAAGGATTTTCTTTAAACTTTACTCAAATGTTTATCTTCACTGGGCAATGTGCAGAACCCATCTTACCCTTGTGCCAGCTTAAGGTCAAGGCCACACTTAAAGGTCAAAAATTGACTTAGAAAATGTTTAGTACATTTAGAAAATGAAAGTTTATTTGTAACTGTTTCGCACATGATTTGACAATATATATTTATACTATTACCTGTTCAATTTGTCTTTTTTCACCAGAGATAATTTCTTTTTATGTTTATGTATTTGTTCCACTAAGTTATTCCCTTAACCACCTTTCCAAGTCGTCTTCTGTCAAGGACATTGATGGGGGTATGAATCGCATTCAGCGATAGTTCTAGTTTATTTTAAATTGCTCATTATCAAAAATATGTAAAGCAATCTGCAATATACTATAACTTGACAATTGTTTTAATTTAATATTTCATATATTCATTTTCATTTTAATAGGGAATCTTGCCTTTATGTGTGTATTGCATTTGTCATTTTACAGCATGGAGGAAACATTCAGATGACTTCGAATGGACTGACACAGTAATTTGCTTTTAACTACATATTACAAGCTATTTATTTGTTACCAATTTAAAGATAAGTTGTATTTTTTCGGGTATTTCCGTCCGCCTAGTTTCTGTTATTGATAATGATCGATACTCATATTATAAGATCATTATGCCTAAATGTGATATCTTTGCAAATAAGATAAAAATAAAGGAGACTGATTGTAACTTAAATAACAATAAATGAATGAATGAATAAATGTAATACAATATAGTATGATTAATTATTGTCAATTTCATTCCATTTTAGTACAGCGAAAAGCTTAAATATGAAGTTCGCGGGATTCTGTCGGGTGCGTTGTGTAAACCTTCATTGTTAATGTTTGGCCCGTCTGGACATGGAAAGTCAGCTTTCATCAACTCCGTGTCAACTATTAGCACAGACAGAAAATCAAACAAAACAAACAGTGCTTCAACTACAAAACACGCAACATCAGTGGTAGGTTTGAATACGAATTTATATATATATATAGTATGAGGTCGAGCCTGTTATGTTGAAATAAGATGGCTTTGGGCGATATCGAGGGTCTTTCTCTATATAGTTCTTGCATGGTGCGGTGATCTTTCTTTGTTGTTCCTCATCTGTTATATACGCCAGTAACATACTTTATTTAGAAGATAACGCACACAGCTTAAGAAAAAGTGTGCGATATTTCATATAAATCACAAGCATGTGAGTAAACTTGGTTGATGTATAACTGTGACCGTAGAAAGAAAAAGACAATGGTCACTAGACTGTACCAAAATTTAGGCTGGAAAAAAAACGAATTTATTCAAATTGGGGATAGGTAATGAGTTACTGGGGTTATGGCTTTCAGTTAAGACAAAATTTGTCTGGTGCATGAACGTACTTGTTTATGAACCTTCTCTTTTTTCTGAATGTAATTTAGGGATAGGAGGCATTGTCTTTCATGAGTAGAGATACTTTCCATATTATCCATTTTAAGTTCTTGAGAAAATAACAATTATCGTTTTTTTTTTAAATAAGTTTTAAAAACCCATCTTTTGGCATGTCATTTGAAACTGCTGATCAAACTGCAGTTAGTATACTACTTACGTGTCACATTTATTTACAGCAATGTTTTTATGTGTTTTGGGCAAACCTATCATACTTCTGATTGGATCTTACAGTATCGGTTTAAAATAGAAATGGCAAAAATATGTCACTCACATGTAGCGTAAAAAGTAGCGAATTTAATCTTTTAATAATAAAAATTTAAATTTAAATTTTATGTTTAATAAAAAGTCTCATGTATTTCTGTTATGCGATAAAAAGCAGTTATAATATATCGAACTCGACTTTAATGTAAAAAAGTCATGACCTGGGGCGCCATCTCATGTTTTCCCTAAAGACAATGTTCTCGGCCTTACGGACTCGATCATCTTACGGACTCGACAATTCCTCGATGCCGCCCCAGGTCATGGTATTTCTACATAAAAGTCGAGTCGCTTAACAATAACTATAACAAATTGACCAAGGCTGTAACAGACGATTTTGTTATACTATAACTATTTTATCGTAGGATAGACAAAAATATAAAAAATGCTTCGACAAAAACATTTCAATTCAAATGTTTCTTCAATTAATAAGTAAGTTTTCCAAACTGAATTTCGCAGTACATCCTAATACAAAAAATGAATTACAACGTTTATAATGTATGTCCCTGGTCCAAACAAAACCGTTTCAAATCCTTCGGCTAAATACCTAGTATCTATTTCCTATGCCCTACCCCCAATTTGAAAATATTCCTTATCAACCTGAATTGTTAGAGATTCACTTGTTGTTTTGTTTTTCTACATGAACCATGTGAACTTTATATAACGATGCTTTATCTTATAAAAAGACCTGTAAAGATCAATCATGCGTCCAAACGCTTTAATTTTATTTCTTTTTTTGTGAACTGTTATATTTACCATACAAATTACTGAGTAAAATGTTTGTTTATTAAGGTAAGTAGAGACAAAGTGATTTTTGTATTAAATGTGAATGCAAAACACTTATTTCTTTACATTTTGCTACATTTGTGAAAAATTTTGACATTAAGTGCTACTTCAATCAGGAAATAAGCACCTAACATGCTAACTAGTTTTAAACTTTATAAAACACATGTATGCCCGTTTGTCAAGAGGGAAAAAATTGTTTCTGAGGCATAATTTACCTTTAGGTCATATTTAAAAAATGTCTGACAATAAACTCATTTTATTTTTACTAGAATTTTGATAAAGATTTCAAAGTGATTGCTCTTCTCATCATGCACATGCCTCACTACCTACCTTCATATATTAAAACCAACCTATTACATCAATAAAGTGTATAAAATGTGGATTTTTCATAAACTAAAATTTTTCCTCGTTATGCGAGTGGTAGAGATGCGGTCACATGCTGCCAGTAGAAATTATAAACAACAAGACAGTCTGAAGATAAGCTAAAACCCTTCTGCAGTACCTTGGTGGCCTTTAGCCAACCATAATCTTGATGTTTGCCATGCATATTAAAAGCACATATTCTAATGATAGTCAAAAATTTTCAGCGGTTTAAAAGTCATGGAGCGGGCACGAAATGAAGACTTTTTGACACTGGACAATTAAGTGTGACCTTGACCTTGGAGGTAGCAACCTAATTTTTGCGCTCTGCAGCTCGTCTCATAATAGTGATTACTTGTGTCCAGTTATTAAAAAATAACAGTTGTTTCAAAGTTATGGAGCACTTTAAACCCTTGACATTTAAGTGTGACCTTAATCCTAGGGGTAGCAACCGAATTATTGCGCCCGGCACTTCGTATTATAATAGTGATCACTTGTACCACCTTATTTTTAAAAGAATTCACCAGTTTAAAAATAATGGAACGGAGACGAAATGTAGACTTTTTAACATTTGACCTTTCATTTGTGACCTTGGGTAGCAACCCAATTATTGCGCTCTCTGCACAGCCCCTTATAATGGTAATTAATTGTGTCAAGTTATTTAAAAAAAAAACATCAGCGGTTTAAAAGTTATGCAGCGGACACGAAATGTAGACTTTTAAACACTTGACCTTAAAGTGTGACATTCACTTTGGGAGTTGCAACCCAATTATTGCGCTCTGCACATCGTCTCATGATGGTGATTACTTGTATCAAGTTATTTAATTTTTTCAGTGGTTTAAAAGTTATGGAGCGGACGCGAAATGTATACTTTTAACACTTGACCTTTAAGTCCGACCTTGACCTTTGAGACGAAACCCAATTATTGCGTTCTTCACATCGTCTCATAATATTGATCACTTGTTCTAAGTTATTTAAAAATAATCAGCGGTTTGAAAGTAATGGAACGGACACGAAAGTGTTACGGACGGACAGACGGACGGAGAGATGTACCGACTGACAGGCAGAGGACATTCCTATAATCCACTCCCCACTACGCAAAAGGGAATGAAAAAGATGTGTTTGCTACGCAGTTTAATGTCTTTTGCACGTTTCCAAAGAAAAGTCGGAAAATGAAAAACATAAATTGCACCGTTGATCCGCTTATTTAGAGCTAGTCTGCGTGAAAAAATAATAAGAAAGCTTTCAAAATTTATTAAATGAAGAATTTCATTTTTGTTATATATGGTGGCTGATTTGTGCTTTTCGTGTTTTCGTCCGCGAATAAATAAAACATCGCCCCGAGCTCCCGCTAATTAGCGTGTTTTTGTCTCGCGACCCCACCAAGCTAAATTTCGGGAATAAGAAATTTAAAATGGCCGTCGCACAGAGCGAAAACACGCTAATAAGCCAGGGCGCGGGGCAAAAGTTAATAAATTAAATGTCGGCCCGCAGGACCGCAAAGCGGGATTTTAGAAATAAGACGGCGGGGGCGAAAGGTCGAGAATAAACAAGGGCGCCAAGCGAAAACACAGGACAGTTATTAATGCGCCCCGTCATTTAATTTCTTAAATCTCGCTCAGCTACACCCCGCATGGCGAAGTTTTATTTATTAAACTTTTCCTAGCGCCTCCGCTTATTAGCGTGTTTTCACTCTGCGCCCCACCATTTTAACTTGTTTATTCTCGATTTTTTCGCTTGGCAGGGTCGCGGAGCGAAAACACGAATGGCACAAGTCAGTCACCATAGCTATATAATAACACAGTATGAATATTTTGATGAATAGCCATTTGATGTGTATCAAATTGAAGTTTATGATCTCAATTAAAGCCTTAGAGCCTTAAATCATACGATAAAGTCTATAAAAATGTTATGCGCATACCCCGCTTCAACACACAATTTAAGTACACATCTGCTTAAGCTATGGGGCGTGGACGGTAACTTGCACTATCCAGTACTGTCCATGAACAGGTTCAATCAAAACCGATCCTGCAACATTTTCAAATTTGCCATGTTAGGCTTACTTTAGGGATTCTGCTTTTCTCTATTGTATTGTCACACCAGTGTTATTTGTGCCGTGTGGCGGCTGTAAAAAGTTTCTACGTACATTTAATCAAAGATGTTATATTTTCGACACTTGAAAATCGTTCAGCACGTCATTATTGTTGTGAATACATGTATTGTCGTATCTTTAGTCACATTGAAGGTTCCATGATAACCACCATATGAGCACTTCTGAGGATGTTTCTAAATTCCAAAATTTAACCATTTCCGTGTTTAAATGTTGAATTCTGCTTAAGCCGGTGCTAGGGGGCTAGGACGGTAACTATCCAGTACCGTCCATGAACAGTCTCAATCAAATCGAGCCTGCAACATTTTCAATTTTGCCATGTTGGGCTTTCTTTATGGATTCTTCTTTTCTCTAATATACTATTTCATGTTTTGAAAAATAGTAACTATTAAAAATATAGCTACTATATCACCAAGCACTATAGAATGACCGAGTGAACAGTGTGTCGAAATTTTTCTGCTCCTTTAATTTTGGAACATCTCGCCTATTATTCCTTATAAGAGCTGATTCGGAGACTGAAATAGCCGATAACAAATCTGTTACGCATATTTATTTAAAATTTTCGAATGAAAAAAAAACATCTTCCATAGCTGCAAAAATGCCTTTATCTTTACACACTTATTGCATTATACTGATTGAAATGGATTGTTATTAATAAATGAGAAATAAAATAGTTTCGCAGGTACGATTTTGAAGACTTGTTTTACACATTTCGGATAGCAGATACAAAAGGCATTGTGGAATTTGAACGAGACAATAAATACCTTGTTGAAAACATTGTCAGCATCGTTAATGGACATTTTCGTCCAGGAATAGAGGTAACGGAATTAAATAAAAAAATAAACTTATTATTTTGAAATGAAATTAGGCACAATTAGCTGCACATTCTGAAATAAGTAATAAAATTGCAAAAGATGTTTTCTAAATTTACGGATATCTTCCAATTGTCTAGTTTGTTTTATATAGGAAGATTGGTAAATATTTGTAGAGAATCTTAATCGATGGTGATATTTTTAACTTTTCAAATATAAATTTCAAAATTGTGATGAAATAAACATGTTCAAAATAAAATTGCCAATAATATGATTTTTAAACTACCAAAACTGATCGTAACTTAAAACAGTAGGACATAATGAGAAAAAAATGTTCTAGATATCAGGACAATACCATAGCAATACATTGGCTATAAACGCACATAAATGAAGACAGTACTATGTGCAACAGCTGGTATGACCCAAGCACCGATTTAAACGGTATTAAATAACCAAGACTAGAGTTCTAGAACTAATGGTTCCAAAGAATACAAAAATGTAACAACACTAAGCTTCGTACGAGATATTGTTTGACGCAATTTACACATATGAATAAACGTTGATACATCGGAAGAACCAGAAAGAACTCATCAGTGAAATAAGAACATTCTCTTACGTTAAACTTTATAACAATTAACAACTTCAGGTTTTAAAGATCGAAATCAATTCATTTCTCCTCCATTATTATTAACTACAGACACAGAACCAAAAACATTTTAGACGAATTCCACCTTATATTCCAGGAACTGTTAAAGTTACAAATAATTTGACATCTTGTCAAGTAGATTTTTTCTACTGTATTTAAGAACTTAAGCAATTGTTACATTAAAATGTGTTTTGTATGTTAGCGGATCAAAACCGTTAGATCCTTGAACAAATCAATTTCAAACCACTATGTTGTTTGACGTGTGTTCTCTCCCCCTTTTCCACAGGTCCTTTTATTTCATGTTCTAAATAATACAGAAAGTTTTACTCTTTTAATTTAGAAATTGAATTAAAAACTACTGTGGCAGTAACCAGATATATATATAAAAAATTCAAAGCTGATGTTCATCTTTTACGATATTATTTCTTTAAACGTTATATTTTGTTTTGAATTCCTTTGTTTTACTTGTATTTAACTCTGCTTTTGTTTTATTAAACTCTTTTTTGTACTTACATTTATATAGTTCAAAGGTGAAGAATTCCAAACGAATGGCGACTTTTACATCGATTTTCCAGTGGAATCTGACAAAGTGCATTGTGTGATTCTAATGTTTAACATGAAAATCTTTGTAAATAAAGGCGCGCTTTTCAAGCTAAACTACCGTACGTTAGTCACAGATTTGTCAGAAGAATTGAATCGTTTAGGTAATTCTTGACTGATATTATTCAATTCAAAAATCATTCTAAACATGTGTGTTCGCATAATATTATGTGTTTAGCATTATCTGATAAATGCATCTCGTTTGTTATTGTTGACAATAAAACGTGTTTGTGTTTATGCACAATATACCTTTTTATACGTTCTCGTTTCAAAATTATGTCAACAAAGCTTTTCAGAAAATTTCATTTCAATTAGAATTATATTTCCGCTCACCTTAACATTGCTTTTAAAAAAACACATTAATTTAACAATTGATTCTCCTACTTAAAGCATCAACTTTGCTTATTTTCTACATGAATCGTTCATATTTATGAATATTTTCAACTGGATCATATCAGTCACTGCTTTTTCTTTTAAGATATTCCAAGGATCGTAATCCTTACTTATGCAGACCAGGTAGATGAAAAAGTAAAGAATGATATTTCATGCATATTCTACAAAGAAGAGGTAAAAAAGGCAGTTTATACTGCCAGCGAGTGGTTAGGCGTACCTGTAGAAAACATACATCCTATCGTTAATTACTCAAACACAGTGTATGCAGATCTGAATCATCGCCTTCATATTCCGATTCTGCTTGCTTTACAATCAGCTCTGTATTATGCCAGGGACACGCTACATAAAAGAAATCAAATATAAGAAATGTTTAAGCAAAGCCCAATTTTTACGTTTACGTAAGGCGATTTCCAATTATATAATTATTTGTTGTAAAATATTCAATTCTGTTTTACCCTTTATAGCATGTACAATTTGCTTCAATTCACGTCTTAATACAAGTTGACTACCATATTTGAAAATGATCATAGATAATTTGGAAAAAGGTCATAGCCAACGGTTGTATATAGAATATTCAAACATTAAAATCAAGATTTTCATTTTTGTAGATCGCTTGCATTTGTTTAACCTTAAAATGTGAGAAGCATATTATCTTTTATAATTACTTTTCAAAATTCATAATTAATATTCTTATGTGATATTATTACAGTGGTTACTATACAAGGCTACTCAACGTTTCTGTAGAGAATCAAATTATCCTTCTAAACTTGTTGAGCTTTTAAATGCTGTCTAGTCGGGTCGGTTTTGCAAAATCTTAAGCAGCATATTAACTTTTACTATTCTTGAGAATATTGGGAGCTTTTTTAATATGTGGATTTATTTGTATTTTAAGCATATTAAGCATTGAGAATGATCATAAAGAAGTTCCATAGAATCCACAAATTTAAAAAAAAATAAAGAAATCAATAATTTATTTTTTGTTTTCTTGCATAAATTATTGATACAATTCAAGATCAGATCTGCCATGTACAAAATACAACCTCTAAATGGTTAGCCGGTCCAATGTAAGCTGGATATTTAGGTCAATACCTCACATGAATTAAACCCATAGTCATAAGGGGTCAACAACGTAAACTTTACCAACACAATGCCCATATTTTGCATTAAAAGTACACACTTATCAAAAGAAATACCAAACACTTAATTTAGTAACCTGTCTTACATATGACCACTTAACTCGTTAAAGTATCTTTAATGCTTTCAAATGTTAAGTACAGTATAAACTTCTGACTGAAAGTTCTAAAGATGATAGCTCGATACGTTTAACTTTGTTAAAGTAGGCTAAAGCAACATGCCTCTAATTTGATTCTAATTCTTTGTTCATTTCAAAAATGTACTTAAAAGTGAAAAACTTTGATATGGACAAAGAAAATAATTTACTCATTGCAAGCAGTACTTGCAATCCACATGAATAACAATACGAGACCAAATGATCAAAAGTAGTCATAGGGCCTTACATTGCCTCAGAAACGTAGTAGAGATTCTGACAATAAATCAGTCCTTAATCACATAACATATGAATTATTTCTATGTACTTGAATATTGTTTCTTTTTACTTTTTTCTCAAGCTTAATTTTCTTGAAATAGTTTGCTCATTCGAATGCATGCATCTTTGAGAGGTTAAAAAGTACTTGTAATGAAAAAAATAGTGAACAACATTTGTCTGGTCGAGCCAAACTGGCATACTTAGGGCTGCATGCTGATGATTATAAAACTATGGCCCTGTTAAACGTTGTATTCTACATTTTTTACTTTAGATGAAACTTTTTTTCTTCTTTTTCTTTCAAGGATGTTGTTACTTTAGTGATTTATTTCATATTACAAATGGCTGTCTATTTATATATTCTACTGATATTTTCTGTTTCAATTGTATTGACAATGTAAATTCATGTACAGTAATGTGTGTAGCGGGTGACACGAAAAAGTGTTTAATATAATACATGTATTAATCTTATAATTGTTTTATTTTAACAAAGTTTTGGCTTATTTTACTGGGTCCGGTATTAAATCAGTCAAGCTGCTATCTCCACTGACGTCTGTTATTATTTCATGCCATTATATGGTTTACTAGAATAATTCCAAGAATTACACTTTGATCAATTAATGAGATTCTTAACACGGTTTACATATTGTTCTACCAGACGGTCTTACATCTCTTACGACCTAGTCCGACAACTATCTGCCAGTCTTACGTTTCTCAAAGGTCTAATCAAATTTTACACCGCGACGATGGTGGAACAACTTATAATTCCTCCGTTCAGTATGAAAATTGACGTCATATAAGTGGTTAATTTGAGTATGAACTGCGAGTATAAAGGATACCATTTTGCTGTTCTGATTAAGTTTTTTCACACAGGAATCGAACACGAAATTGAATTCTTACAGAGTCTATATTCTTTTTTTAACTTGAGTTATAAACATCAAATTTAATCTCTGATCAAATGCTCGCTTCGAGACTGTGACTGCCTTGACCTTATGTTGCACGACAAACACTGTCGTGCAGGTTTAAAATTACGACTTCGGTTTTCGTTTCTTTTTATCCTTTTAATTGTTTAACTTTGCTGAAGTAATCAACAAGTGTAAGGTTAGACATTTTGTTGAGAAGCATGTAACAACAGAAAACATAAAAGCGAATAAAAACAGTGATAATCTATTACTAATACACAGTTCGGACGTTTTGAAGGTTTATGAAATAAAAGGGTAAAATATGTAACCATATGCCAATTTGTTAAGAACTTGCGTGGTTTCAGCAATTGTGTAGTAAAAAATAAACATTGTTTTATGGGATGATTCCAAAGATAAATTGAATTGGTTAACAAGCTACAAGGAAATTAAAGGTCGAATGATATATATAGATATGTTTGGCTGATTATTTAATTTCATTTGTTCAGGAAACTATAATCATGTAATGCATATAATAATTTCATTTGTTGATTTAAAGATGTTAAAAATATACCATGCATAAATTTTATTTTATTTATATGATAAGAAAATATTGATAAATGCTACACAGAATCTGTGTAAGTATAGAATAAAAAAGTTTTGATCTTACACAAAGTAGATATTAGTCGAACACGATAACATTTACATTATTCGGGTTGTGCGGGTTATTCAATTATAATTATATTTCGCATTTTATTGCAATCTAGAAGAATATACTATATATTTGAAGAGTGTAGAGTAGTGGTTACAAAGTTCAGGTTATGAAGCTCTCAGGTGATATACATGATTTTTAGTTGAAATTTGCAATTGTGCTCAATTTTTGAGTTTGGTTTTAATTATCAGAAAACAATTTTATAGTTTGTCACGTAAGTTTTGTTTTTCTCGTTTTTGAACCTTTAAGTTAATTGATGTTTTGCACATTTGAAACTTATAACGTTTAAGACAAATTGAATGTACATGTATTTGATTTTTTAGAGTCACTAAACAGGTTGAACAGTATTATTAAGGTTATTATATTTGAAATTCTGAATTCAATTCGCCACATTTGTAAAAAATTCGGCTCATTTGTATACACCTATTTTCTTCCATTGCTATTTATTCGGTCATGTAACTAATTATCGACTGTGTTGACTTAAACTTAGTCTGTTGAATACAAATCGGGGTAAAACTTAATGTCCTCAAACACCCTTGTGTGTATAAAATTCACAAGGAACTGAAATCCTGTTAATTGAAAAATATCTTGAAACAAACAATTAAAAAGGGAAAAAATCTCTACAATAATGGACCGAACACTCGACACCCCTATTTGTTAATATAGATATAAACTGATAATGAGAGGAAAAGCGAATTCGAGCTGTATGTCATGTTTAAAATTCTTCACACTATTAGTAGTCACAATATGAAAATATACTGTCATTGAATAAAAAAACACTTTTAATTGTTAAAATGAAAAGTATATATAGTCATGGAGTTTTGGATGTTTTTAGTTAAGGAACATTATCGAATAAAAAGAAAAAATTAATAATAAAAGTCTACTGCGAAAGATGCCTCTCAGGGCTAAAAATAGAAAAAGTCTAAACGACATCTCTTCGTAGATCGTGATGAAACTGAACAGGATACCCTTTAAATACGAGAGACGGTCAGAAAATATCCGGACTTTTCATGCTCCTCTCTTTCCGAGTGCAGCTATATACACACATTATATATTGGTGAAAACTACATTCATTCGCCAATAACGTGGTCAGTTTATTTTCAATGATAGCTGTGTATACACAGTACTTTGCCCTCTGATATATGATAGGTGTTTCGTCTATCATGGACTCTTTGTTAGAGGAACAACGGTCTGTAATAAAGTTTCTGGTTGCAGAAGGTGAAAAGCCCTGCCACATCTTTCAGAGGTTTAAAAAAAATTTCTGATAAATGTGTATCATGTTCAACCTTCTACAACAGGGTTTCTCAGTTTCGTGAAGGCAGAACAAGTGTTTGTGGGCGGCCAGCTGAGGCGGTGACCCCAACAATGGTAGCTTTTGTCAACGAAAATCGTCGAGTAACTTTGGAGGAGGTAGCCAACAAGTTTAGCATCGGTAAGGCATCGGCACACAAGATTTTGCACGAACACCTAGGCATGAGCAAGGTAAGTGCCAGGTGGATGCCTTTACAGCTGTCCGCAGATCAAAAGGCAACCAGAGTAACCAATGCAAAAAAAACATTTAAGTCGTTTTAATCGTGAAGGAGATAAGTTTTTGAACCGCATTATCACTGGAGATGAAATGTGGGTTCATTATTCCGAACCTGAGACAAAAGCTCAGTCAAAACAGTGGAAACGAGCTGGTTCCTAACCTCCTAAAAGTTTAAGCTGTCTCCTTCGGCTGGCAAAGTCATGCTTGTTGCCTTTTAGGATTCACGAGGAATGATACTTACTCATTTCATGCCAAAATGTCAAACTGTCACCGCCAAGTACTATTCTGAAGTAATTCTGAAAAATCTCAGAGAAAAGCTGAAGCAAATGCGTCCCAAGTTAGCACAGGAAAATGTCCTCCTTCACGATAACGCCCCCTCCCATACCGCCGCAGCTACAGTGGAGGTTATCAACTCCTACAAATGGCAATTGTTGTCTCACCCTCCTTATAGACCAGACCTCGCCCCTGTGACTTTTATTTGTTTCCAGAACTGAAAAAATTGCTTGCTGGAAAGAAATATAAGACCAGGGCGGCTTTGATATCTGCTGTTACACAGTACCTAAATCATAGGTCTTACGTCATGGTTCACAGCGGGAATACAAAAGCTCCAACGAAGATAGCAAAAGTGCGTAGACGTAGGTGGAGAATATTTTGAAAAAGAGTAGAAAGATTTTTTTTTAAATGTTGGTTTTCGAGAACGAGTTAAAAGTCCGGATATTTTCTGATTTCCCCTCGTAGGACCTTATAAAATTGCGCACATGGTTTCGGTCTGTTGAGCCGCCAATGCTTAAAAAAAAGTTAAAAACTGCACACTAACTTTATATGAAATCAACAAAAATGAACACATGAGAGTACTTGACTGAAATTGTTCCAGTCTACATAACAAGATGGCATTTTAGCTAAAAATGGAAACTATTTTGAAAAGAAATCAGCACCTTAATTATTTGGTACAGTTTGAAGAAACTCCTCAGGAATGGTTCTTCGATAGTTTTCTATAAGATATGCTCCGACGAATCCAGTCTCCTAACAGGCCTGGTTAACCACCAGACCTGAAAAAGAAATACCTTTTATAAAAATTAGCATAATATCACTTTAACATATTACTCAGTCACCTGGCCGATTTATTGTGAAGAGATTGAAACCATAATATAGAAATGTTATACCACGTTTTAAAACCAGAATATTTGTTTTATAAAAATACGTTTTGATATAAATACGTAAGAGGAAGGTATGCAATATCGAATAACAAACTACCTTGTGGTAGAAAGTTTGGAAATTGGAAAATTCGCGCAATCAATCTACTTGACATGGTGTTTCAATGTTGAAGAACACATCTTTTTTCTATATATCTGTTACCTTTATTCAGAAAAGTACTCTCTGTTTTGAGGGGAAAACATGCTTAGTTCTGTTGGTGGGTAGTTGGAAATTCGAGAAATAACCAACTAGGTCCCCTTCTTTATTGTACGTTTAACATTTCTGCTAAATCTTGATCTCTTTATTTGTCTTTTACCTAAATTTTAAATTGCTTGTAAAAATTTTCAGTGATGACTTTAAATAGCCATTTCAATACCTAATATCAAGCTTTTCAGTTTGGTATCCACCTTGATCAGATTCAGCATACGCAAAATGTGTGAAAAATATACCAAGATACGACTTATTGTATTGTACTGCAAAATGCCTCTATTAGAGAGCTAAATTCTCAAAATCAGTCATGTCTATATCACGAAATAATATATTTGATAATAATTTAGAAATGATTTGAATGAAATAATATTATAATAGATGAAGGTTACACATAACAGTACATACTCGCATGAAACCAGAGATTATTTGTCATTACGCTTCTTGAATAGTAAAAGAAAATCTCTTAGTACGCCGATCTAGGAGCAGCACTCCACTTGTTTTTAAATTCATTTAATTAACAGTAACACAAGTGACGCAAGTATTTGGCCTCAATACAAATGAATATTTCGTGCTAACCATTTGTTCGTACGGATGTCTTTCCTATCCCTTAGTTCAAATATTTACATATCTTGATAAAATAATGTGGACTATAAACTTGATAAGTTGTTTGACTTTAACCTGTTTTGAATATATTGTGAACCTATTACATACCGGATTTACATGACACCAATATTGTATTGTTTAAATATGGATTTAAGACCATTCTCCATATATACTTTTGTTTAACTTTTGTTTAACAATGTTTGTTTTCAATATGATCGTACCATGACTTATGATTTATGTATTACGTGCTTTGTATTATGACTATGTACAAATATGTATACGTCAATAAATTATATCTATCTAAATTATATCTATCTATCATATCAGTAACCTCTTATTTTAACGATTTCATTATTGCTATACAGTATATGTTTTCAAATCAGTTTGACAAATCATCTGTTTTATCATTTGTTTTGAATTTCAAAATCAATTAAGGCCATCTAATTGGCATTGGCATTGTTAATATTACATGCATTTAAGTACATTTAGGACCGGTTATCCTTCTCAAGTGATTGCTCGAACAAGCTTTACTGGCCGTACGTTTTTAC